AATAATATTTTCTAACTGAAAAAGTAATGGTGAGATTAGCCGTTTCCATAAAGGAAATATTAAACGTTCATTGACCAAACAATCAGCGTCATTGTCGGTTGAAATTTATAAGATCTTTGTTTTAAAAGAGTTTTCAGTAAAATAGGTTTCTCAACTTCAGTACCTGTCATCGCTCTTTTTAGCATTGACTAGCAGCATGGCCCGGCGTTGCCCGTGCTTGATTCAAAAATCGTACAACTCATACTATCACTTGACTTAAAATATTTTTGCCCTTCCTTGCCTTTAAAGGAGTGTCCTTTGACGTGCTGATGTTGCTACATGCCTTACTTCTTGCCTATCTCACACTGCAATTTTTTCTAAACTCTATACTAAATATTAAATCTGTTACGAAAAAAGAACTAAACAAAATGAACACAAAACGATCAGCTTTAAAAAAGGACTAACTGGAAAAACCGAATGAAAAAAGAATGTTAACAACAAATACTTTTTCACACCCAACCCAGTTCTGCGGAATCAGAATCAACGTTGAGTTTAAGCAAGTGAATGAGCCAATTGGAGTAAAGATTTAAATTTTTCCCACTTGTGACGAATGCAGCTATCGATTTTTTTTAGTATGCCAGTTAACATTCGTGTCAGTCAGCTGTTGGCTCTCACGCTGACCAATAGAATCTTCCTGCCTATTCGTGGCAGCCAGCTATAGGCTCTTACTCTGGCCAGTACAAAATGGCCGCAAACTACACGAAAACTGCCGTAGAAGCATAAAAAAGTCGATTATTTCCACTATCGATGGGAGTTGAGAAATGCAAAGTCGGCCTTGGCCTTCCCGCTAACTTGTAACATGTGCATGTAAATTTTGGTGCAAATCCGTGCATTAGTCACACACACACACACACACACACACACACACACACACACACACACACACACACACACACATCCTGCCTTTTATAGATAGAGATAGGGGTTTCTTACCTAAACTTTTTTCTAAAGTAGTGTAGAATTCAAAATGTTGATTATGTCATTATTTTCTATTCGAGTTACATGTGTCATCCATTTTAGTTGTTACTGCTGTTGGAAGTCTTCAAGTCCTGTATTTTCTAAAACGCTTTGTTATTATGTAGCGGTAGTCTTTGTATTTTGATGAAGAACTGTGTTCTCGGTATCGTTCGTAGTTTACGTGGTAATAAGTAGGAGTCATTTCTGTCGTGTGTCTGTGTGTGTCTGTGTGTGAGTGTGTCAGAGTGTGTGTCCTTGTGTTTGTATATCTGTAAAAAGATACGTTATTATCCTGCGCCGAAAACAATTCTATTTCATGAGAGGAATGAGGCGTGACAACTAAAACAGTCGGTATATGTGGCTTCCCGCCAAAACCAGGCCCGCTGTGCCATTCGAGTGACGTTTCATCTGCTGCCTGGACGAGTCTGCAAAGTTGTCGGCTGAAGGGAATGATGCCATAGATATCAGAGCAATCTTTGCCAACTCTCACTAACGAGTGATGAAATACTGCCCCTCTCCAAGCACATCCGATTTCAAATCAGCCGAGCCACGATTTTACTGCATTCGCGCCCGCAAAAAAAAAAAAAAAAAAAAAAAAAATAGAAAGAAAGAAAGAAAAGATGTTGGGAGCCTGCCGTAGAGCGCTGGATAGTGTAGCATCCGTCGGTCTCGAAAAACCTTGAATGTGCACCCATAGTTATACTTCAGCTGCTGATGGTGGTGCAGCATCTGTTAAGGCTGTACAGACCCACTCGGGCGTGACAGTCTCGATTACAATGAACGTATGTGAAGACGATCTCCTCCGATGTCGCCTTGTTGGTTTTTTTTCCTTTCGAGCAAACTCTCCCCGGTGGCAATGCTTTGTTTCTCCAGCGTAAGCCATCGACATCTTCCCACCTCTCGATGTTCATCGCCCTCATGTCCTCTTTGAGGACGTCCTTGAAATGGAGATCAGGTCGTTCTTGCGCCTTCTTGCCAGTGGCCAGTTCCTCTCACTGAAAGACATTCTGAATCTTCCCATCCAGCATACGGTGTACATGTCCAAGCCAGCGCTGTTGGAGAAGGGCGTATAGGCTGGGTAACTTGGCACGGGGGAGAACTATGGCACTAGTGATCCGGTCGGACCAGCTGATGCCCAGAATACGAATGAAAGGTACTCAGCCACTCCACTTGTCAGAAGTAGAGGCGCCAAGTCTCGCTGCTGTAGAACAGCACGCTGACGACGCATGCAATGCAGAGTGCAATGTTGGTGTTCGTAGTAAGTTTTCTGTTCACCCAGACTCTCGAGGTCAGCCTGGCAAACGTAGTGACAGCGCTTCCGACCAGTCTGTTGACCTCAATTGTCTAGGGAAAGAATGTCTGTAACGGCACAGCCAAGGTAAACATGTCCTGTCATTTGTTAAATCTGTTACTTAGGCCTCCATGAAAGACTAGGCCAAACTACTTGTCAGTCACTGACGAATAATATGTAAATAACCCTGGACTTTTTTTTAGTGTAGGGAAGTTGATCCTCATTGGGTGCCTTAAGATTAGTAAATATCTGATCACTTACTTAAAACGACAGTAATATTAAAATACACACACGCACACACACACACACATATACACTGCGTGCCAAATTATTATCGAGATAACTTTTTTCTAATATTTCAAAAACCGTCCAATCAATTCACACAAAATTTTCACACAATGTTGGCAACAATAAACTGCGCAATTTCAAAACAGGGAAAGCACATTCCCTATTAATTTGTTTAAAACTGTGCCTTTGTTTGTATCTGTTATTATTTGTTTGATCATCTTATTTATTAGCCTCTTTTGTTCATAAACATTCACGTTCAATATTAATAAACGTTTTGTTTGCTCAATTCTGGGAATTTTACTAAGCCCTTCTAATAATTTGGCACGCTCAAATCACCGTGCTGATAACAAATATGGCGCCAGTTTGTTTACATTGCGCAGATCAATACGGAAATTTCAGTGATTGTGCAGATCAGTGTTGCCAACATTGTGTGAAAATTTTGTGTGAATTGATTGGACGGTTTTTGAAATATTAGAAAAAACGTTATCTCCATAATAATTTGGCACGCAGTGTATATATATATATAGATATATATATATATATATATGAAGATATATAGTTTTAGGTTGTGCTTTATATTTATGGGCTAAAGTGCTCAATATCAGTGATAGAGCATATGTAAATATAAAAGTGAAAATTGAAGTCAACATCAGAGGCGACAGGCTGTTTTATGCTAAATGCAATCATCGGGTGTCCTGGTGATTGCATTTAGCATGAAACTATCTGTCGTCTGAGTGTTGACTTCCATATTCACTATATATATATATATATATATATATATATATATATATATATATATAATAGCTAACAATTCATATTTGAGGATATCCGTTTACTAGGGCGGCTAGATAATCCCTATTGCAGACTCTCGCTCAGGCACATTTGTGTTTGTTCAACAACTACAGAGCCAACCTGTGGTTTATTCTGCAACTATGCTGAACAGACATTAGTTACAGTTTCTGGGAGAGAGTTTTACCTCGAATGATCAACAATCTAAACAACACCTGTACACTCATACCCTCGGTCACGATGACTTGTGACTCCGTACTAGCACAGTTATCGACGGCCCCAAAGTGGTCTGTCTACCCAATTTCACACACAAGGATTTCAGGCACTTTCCAAGGGTGTCGCACGCTGGGATCGCCCCCACTCCAGATCGATAATATCAAGAAAAAGAAAGAAAAAACAAAATAGAAAAAAATTCATTTTGTTTCTTTTTCTTTTTTTTTTCTCCTTTTAATTTTTCTATTACCTTGTCGTCTTTGCCTTTCTCTTCTTGCGGGGTGAAATGGTCATTACAGATGGGGTATTTACACACACACACACACACACACACACACACATATATATATATATATATATATATATATATATATATATATATATATATATATATTTGAAGTAAAAGTTTGAACCTTCTACCAAAAAATCCGTCATATTTTTTGCCTTGTTGTGAATAGTAACTGGGCCTGCACTTAAAAATTGTGTCTGGCGAGAAAGTGAGTTTGAAGTAGAAGTGTCATGTGAAAATTAATGCATGACTACTCTCTCCTGATCTGAGGTTGATCTGGCGCCAGGATCCTCAATCTGAAACCGCAAATAATACCAAACCCTAGATATGTTAAAATTCAGTTAGAGAAAATAAGAGATTAAAAACAATATCTAACACACACCGACGTTCCAAATGGCATAGGATAGCAGGAGGTAAAGGTAATGATAGGTGGCGCCACCCTACCTTGATGTTATAGAAATGCCCAGATTTATATCAGTTGTACTATCGTATTTATTTAGTCATTGTGAATGCTTCTTCTCATGGCAAGAAAATGTGAATGAAGTATGGAAGCAGGTATCAGACAAATGGAATACAGGTTGACAATCCCATATCCCGAATTTCTGAAAACCGAATATTTTTAGTGTGGAGTTTGGCGCTCAAAAAGCTTACCTACTTGACCCACGCCACTTAGGTATGACGTGGCAACAGGTGTCATAATCGCTTCGACACCGCGCTTAACTCCCCTAGCCTGGCTGAGCGACATGAACCCGCCAAACGTCGTTTGTTGTCAAGGGCTCGTATTGGGTAAACGTGAGTGTGCTGCTCGCTGATTTTTTTTTTATCTTTTCGTAATTTTTGTGACTTTATACAGTGAAAATGTCAAACAGAACTGCAAATATTAAAAACATTGGAAAACCGAAACATAACTGGCCCCAAGGATTTCGGATATAAGATTGTGTACCTGTATTAAATTTCTGAAATTGTGTAGACATTTGACATCTCTCGATTTATGGTGTCAGATGTGTACTGGGAATATCTGATGGCAGGAATTACTGTCTATCGTAGGGAGTGAAGTTATAAGGTCATAATTAATTGTAATGACGAATCTATTATCTTAATTATTAATCATACGTGGCAGTTAAATGGTGTAAACTAATAGATAGATAGATAGATAGATAGATAGATAGCGAGAGAAATGAACAGACATAAATAGATAGATAGATAGATAGATAGATAGATAGATAGATAGATATGAAAAAACTGAACGGATTTATTTGGTTGAGTCATAAGTAATTTCCGTTTTTGTGAACCAATTTCAATGACAGATGAATCATCCGAACTACTAATCATAGGTAGTAGTTAAATGGAGTACAATAATAGATAGATAGATAGATAGATAGATAGATGAGGCTGGGTCATAAGTAATTTCCGTTTTTGGAAATCAACTGTAATGACGAATGTATCATCCTAACTATTAATCATAAGTAGTTGTCAAACGAAGTATACTAAGTGATAGATAGATAGATAGATAGATAGATAGATAGATAGATAGATAGATAGATTAGATTAGATTAGATTAGATTACATGACATTAGGTTGAGTCATAAGTAATTTCCGTTTTTGGAAACTAACTGTAATGACGAATCCTAATCATATTTAGCAGTTAAGAATAAATTTGGAATTCACTTAACCTTCGAAATTTATTCACCTGGACTTGCATCAAGAAATGAATAACTGTTTTTTTTTTTTAGATCAATGCAAAATCCAGGATCCAGAATTCGAAAAAAATTGTAGAAGTTTGCCCAAAAGCGACCTAAAAATTTGTAAGTGGAAACAGAATATCAACAAACGTGAACATTCTTCTTCTTGATGCTGTGTCTCTTCAAGACGTTGGCGATCATGGCTCTCCACAGTTTCCTGTTCTTTGTAGCTCTTAATAAAGTTGGTATTTTTGTTACCTCTCCTAAATCCTGTTCTGCCACAAATTCACACAAGCTCGTTAGGTATGTTATGCTTTGATATCCTTTGTCTCTCTTGCCTTCAAACAGTCCTGTGAGTATCAAATGTTTCAAACTTACTTTCTCCATAATGTGCACTAGAAATTTCAATTGTCTCTTCCCGAAGTTAAGTGTAAGTGTCTATTTTGTTTCCATTTTCTTTAAAAATTTGTTCCTTAAATATTCCGGCGATGGTATACTCAATATCCTTCTATAGAAACATATTACTGTTTTTTTCAAGTCTCTTCATTTATGAGTAGATTCTCTTGCATTCACTGTCATATGAGGAGAATGATATTACGTAACATAAGGTGATCAGGTGATAAATAACAAGAAAGATGAGGACAACAGTCCGAATATAAATAGTGTAAATAATGAGAACTCCTCATCCCAGAAATTCAGACAGAAGGTGATCAGGTGATAATAACAACAAAGATGAGGACAATAGTCCGAATATAAATAGTGTAAATAATGATAAATCCTCATTCCAGAAATTCAGATAGAAGGCGCTCAGGTGTTATCAATCTAGTCCGGTAAAAGTGTGTGTGTGTAAAATTGCCGTCCCGTAACCAGCAGCTTTGTGTAGATGGAGATCGACAACACAGGAAGTCAGCAAATCTAGGGGAAGGAAAACTTTAATTTGAAATCTCCGCTGCCTTTCAGTCATATCCACAACGCGGAAAAGGCTATGAGAGAAAACCTGCAGTGGACGCCCGAAAGCAGTTGTCTATCAGCGCTAAGAACTTTCCGGCAACACTTACAGCCAATCTGTCCCTAAACGTAGTGCCCTGTATTCCATTGGATCTTGATGGAATGGCCGAGAATGGACCCTTTCGCGGTATCAATTATTTTTTTCGACGTTTCGATACGGAAATGACGTCATTACTTGCACGTAGTGCGTAAGAAGTGACTCACTCATTGGCTAGATATCATTCATTCAGTTCAGTTAATGGACCGACCGACGTATTTACACGAAATGCTGGACTGAAATAAAGTAACAAGATACCTAGGACCAACATATGTTGCCAAAAGAATGCTTTAAATTGATAGGAATAAATCGTGGAAAAATGTACAAGACAAAAGATAATATATTATTTCGAAATGTCGACCGATTTTGAGTTTACTTTGGATTGATGCATCAGGATTAGACATGACTTTCCGGTTGCAATATCGGGTTGCGGGGCGTTGGATAATGTAATTTGTCTTACCACCTGATGATACTTTGCGGTTGAAACCCGGGTAGTGAATAAGGTAAACATTTTATTCTTTTTATTATATATATATATATATATATATATATATATATATATATATAACCACTCTGATGATGGTTCATGTGATCGAGGAACAGCATAATAAAAAAATATGCAAATGTTGAATATTTTTTGTCTTTATTTTCTCTCGAAACTAAAGCGACTATACGAAGCTTAGAAAGGCTCATGATTAAACATAATAAACATTTGTTGTCTGTTATATTTAACAATATACGTTTGAACACACACACACACACACACACATATATATATATATATATATATATATATATATATATATATATATACGTAGTATACGAGGCGACAATCTTTCCCAAGGAAAATATAAACCAGAAAAAAGATATATAGGTATATCCGCCGGTGATTGGAAGCAGCGTCTATACAGCCATAAACGCTCATTTAGATATAGATACCTCAGAAATCAAACTTCCTTATCCAAACACTACTGGGATCTGGTGGATAAGGGACTAACCCCACTTTTAAAATGGAGATACTTATCAAGAGTTAGAACACCTAATAACTTCCGCGATCGGTGTGATCTGTGCATGGCGGAAAAAAAATTTATTATTAAAGATAAGAATCAAGATGAATTGCTGAATCTTCGTAATGAGATATTTTCTAAATGTAGACATAAGAAACGATTCAAAACATAAACACCGTTTTGTAACATGTTGTCACTTATGTCAGTTCCTCTTAGTCCAATTACATCGGGCATGACATTTTAATGGAATGACTATTATGTTTATTATGTTTATCTATATATATATCATTGTGTATGTTTAGGTGATGCGCTATGGATTTAAATTTTTTTTTTTGAGACAATTTTTTTTTAATTTTACCTTTTTAGATTTTACATTTTAATTTATATGTATATGTGCGTACCTGTGTGTGTATGTGTGTATATGTGTATATATGTAGGTGTGTATATAGGTATATGTATGTATGTATATGTATGCGTATATATGTATATATATGTATGCGTATATGGATGTATGTATATGTAGATAGATGTATATGTAGATGTGTTTATATGTGTGTGTATGTTTTGGTATGTATGTACTCATATATATCTGTATATAGGGTGTATATGTCTGTATATATGTATATATATATGTGTTTGTGTAAGAGTTTGAAGTATATTTTTCCTACGTTTGTTTTTACGTTCTTGCTGTACGGTGGGTTGAACCATATGATATTTCTTCTGCTGTTGGCCTTTTTTGTATTCTGTGGTGAGTATGTGAGTATTGCTGGGAATCCGGTATCTTTTAGGGCTGTTTCGTTGTCTTTCTTAGCTTTGTTAAATATGGGTTCATTGGAGGAATTGTCGGAGAGCCTGCGGTTAATCGATTTTAGAAGGCGGATGGTTGGAAGATGTGTGTATGTAGAGTGGTTTATCATTAGGTTTTCTGTATGGTTTATATGTGCCTTCTCTTAGGTTGAAGGTAACATCTAGGAAATCTACTTCGTTTAGGTTAGTTTTTATATCTATGTCGAATCCGTTATTTTTAAAATCTTTATTATTGCTTTTCTAGTTTTGTCTGTGTTTTTGTTTGTTACAGTTTCTTAAGATTATGAGACCGTTGTCCCTGTAGAGTCCTGTGTCATTTTTATCTATTATTTTGCTCAGTTCGTGTACTAAGTAAATGCCTATGATTTCGCATGCCTCTGCACCGTCAAAGCTTCCCATTGTAGTGTCAAATATCCCATCTTTCTTTATCCATGCTTCTTCATTGTGGAATAATAATGATTTACATGGGGAGTGCTTAATGATGTTGATTTCGCTTGGTTTTATTATTATTTGTTCCTGAGCTAAGTTGATGGCCTTATCTAGCATACGTTCTGTTATGGATGGGTAAAATTCTTTTATGTCTAATTGTAGGAATTGGCAATTTTGTTTGTTATTTATGTTGTGGAACCAGTCAATAGTTGTTTTCGTATTTTTCCACTGGTTTACTCCTAATTTCTTCCTGAGTTCAGAATTAATTCTTTCTAGTATTGTTTTACTTATTTTACCTAGTTAACTAGGTAAAAATAAATAGACAAACCAATCCCAAATTAAAAACTGTTCCCGCCAAAATAATAGTTAGAATGAACTACAACAACCAACCCCAAAATTGAACAAATAGCTTTAATTAAATTCTCAAACCAAAACAAAACTGTTAAACAAGTGATATAAACAAATTTTTACTACGTTAATAAATAAATAAATAAATAAAATAAGAAACAAAAATAAAGACGAGCAATATAATTTGACCCAAATAAATAAACAAACGACTTCCGGTAAAATAACCGCCATAATAGAATACCCACAATGCACCAGTAACCCGTATATATATAGATAGCCGAGAAAAATAACAGCATATGTGGCCTGACGATTCCATATAGCATGAAACAGATTGTCGCCTCTAAGTGTTGACTTCTATGTTCACTTTTTTATATATATATATATATATATATATATATATATATATATATATATATATATTTGAAGAAATCTGTATTTTTCAGGCATGCTATATTTATAGGATAAAGTGCTCAATATCAGAGATCGAGCGTATGTCAATATAAAAGTGAACATTGAAGTCAACACTCAGAGGCGACAGACTGTTTCATGCAGGCATGAAGCAGTCTATCATCAACCATGGAGCAGTCTATCACCTCTAGTGTTGACTTCTGTTTTCACTTTTATATATATATATATATATATATATATATATATATATATATATATATATATATATATATATGTGTGTGTGTATTTAGGCAGAAATTTTTCATTGATGCATGTTTCATTAAATAATATAGACAAGTTTTGTCTATTTTAAGTAAGTTCCTTTCGAATTGTCTGATAAGCTTAATGACATTATCATTGATTTCGATTCCGCGTCTCGTATACACGAGTTTGTCGTTGCTTTGAAATTTTTCCTGTAACAAAAACAGACTATCATTATTGTGTTATCCGTGTATTGTTTGATATATTGAAATGTAATTGTCAACTTTGATAATGGCTTGTGTAAGCCGAAAGCTTAGATAGGATTAAAAAACATGTATCAATATGGTGATTTCCTTTCGTCTTTCAATGATAATGTTATTAAACTTATCAGACAATATGAAAGCAACTTACTTAAAATAAATTGAA